TCAGCGAAGAGTATGGATTTTCATAATCATTAATCAACAACACAGTTGGACTTAAACTAATAAATCATACATAACACGATCATTATCAAGGCACAGACAAATCTGTTGCAACCGGCTTGGTGAAATAGGCAAGTCATTCACGTTAGAAGATGTCAGAGCATACCGATATCATTGCCTGGAACCGGTTATGAAAGCGTCAAGTTTATTCAAGAAACTGGGTTTGTGCCAAATTACCTGAGGCAACCACAGAGCGGTGAAAAGTTGATGCAACGCCAAACTTTTTTCTAACAACACGCGCACTTAACATGCGCATGTAGCGGGCAGTGTCGTCACCGTTTCGTTGAACTACTTTCGACAAAGTCAGACTAGACGCCTCAGCCTCATAGCTACGTAATCGTAGCGTCTACGAGCACTTGCTCGACGATTTTAGTTCTATTAATTTGCGAATTACTAACCTTGCATTTGGCTGATCTTTTTCCTTCCACTAGTTGGGCCCCGAATCAGCACTGACAGATCTTAACAGATAAATATAACAATTGGAGAAGATGCAAACATTGAGTACGTTCTTTTGGTCTAAAATTACACTCTTAGCCCAGTGTAATGAAGGAAGGAGGTGAGATGCAATGGTCAGCTTCGAGCACGACCAGCAACAGTCAAATCTCGAGTGATATAGACGCGTTCAGCATCGTCTGCAGTTCCTCTGATAACCTATTCAAGATCTGGCATATGGATATAGTAAAAGTTCCTGCCACATAAGGAGAAGCACTTCTCTGAATCCGTTGCGCTAAACGAATTTTAGAGGGACGTTGGCAATAATTCATGGGAATGGGCAGCAAGAATCAACTGTTGACAATTACTCACCAAAATACTTTCAAAGAACGAAGCCAGGAAATAGACACGTGCTGAAGCCTAGGCCTGAAAACACCTGCTACTCGATAAGCCACGGAATCGGTGCTTATTTAAGATCATCATCACTAAAAATAATGCCAGAAATGCTAGAAACAGATACCGAGGACATGAGGAAAATCAAGGAAGAGGTCATTGGAATATCTGAGATCTGAAAATCTACTGAATTCGACGTAAATTTATTGTTGCGGAATGCAGGAACAATATCTAGTTGTCTTTCCGGAAGCTCAGACTGATAAACTTATGATTCATGGTAAAGAATCATAGTAACATTTATTGAAAGCTGCGACAATATTCCCTATCATGCAACAGTCCTGCTTCTATGAATGGAAGATAGAAGCGCATTTGAAATTAGCCGATTGTAAAACACAACCGTGCAAAAAAACAGGGGGATTGATCAATTATACGAGGAAGTGAAAGGACTCAATGCAAAGGTTTTTCGATGCAGACTTAAACATAATCCTCGGAAAAAAAGATGAGCGATATGTCCGAAATTTTCCCTGAAAGCAATGACCTCCACGTCACTAATGCCGTTTCCGAGAAAGCTCTAAAGCTGCAGTTGAAACCTAGACGAAAAGTCTATCCAGCAAATCGTCTATGGACTGGCGGACAAGAAAAGAGTAAAATTGGACCTGTAGGTAATCATAAGCGGCAACATCTGTTCCAATTCAAGTCACAGGTTCCTTCGTTCCACAGTTACAATCGATGTCAGAAAGGAAGAACGAATTAAAAGTGCCGAAAAATGCTTATGTCGAAGACAACGATTCGATCCCGAAGCTATCGTAGAGAAGCTGCAATTAATGAATTTTGATATGACAATTAGAGAAGGCATGGAGGTGGGCTTCGTCAATACCATCAACACTGTGTTTCGAATGTTAAGCCGGATAGCCAAACGGACGAGAAAAAGAATCTATCAGTCACTCAACGTGATATTTAATCGTCAGTATTGTCCTCTGAAGGCAAAAGCGAAAATGAACAGCGTGTTCTCTGCATTCTCCACAGAGGAATGGAAGAAGTCGCAGGAAGAGAACGAGAATCGCAGGATAATTTGATTGACAGATTCAACGGAGTGAAAGAAAACATTACAATATGAAAACTTTATTTCCCCTAAAATAGCTGATTTCGACTGCACCGAAAGACGAAGAAGGAGGAACAACCACGTACAGCAATCGGAAACTCTTTGCACAAAGTTCTACATTTTCTTCATCTTCACCTTTCATGACTGCTTATCCTTTCAGGTGAGGGAGGCAGACGCGTCAGGCTGTGCTCCCACGCGTCCGATCCTGTGCCAGAGTCTGAGCTACGGCAGAAGACAACTGGAGCCCGGAACAGACTCCTTCCATATATTTGCACAGAGTTAGTCTTGGCTGTCCCTGAGCCTTCTGCCGGTCGGCAGAGCAAGAAACATTTGCTTAGCCATCCTTTCTGGAGGCATTTGAAATGCATGCCTAAATCATCACAGCTGTGATTTCTCAACCTGGAGAAAGGCCAGACTAAGAAAACCACTTTTAGCCGCTTATACCTGGGAAAGAAGTTTGTCAATCGTAGTCCACGACTCATCGCCGTGGGAAAGTATCGGGATGAAGATCGGCTTGAACACCGAGAACTTAGTCTTCAGACTGAGCTATACTTTAGTCACAATGGTTCGGACTACTTCGCGATGCTGTTCATAATAAAGAGTTCGTTATTGTTGAGGTTGCTAATCCAGGTTCTACAGCAACCTTAATTTTACAACGAGGCCTGAGTGACAAGTTACCATACGTAGCTTGAGATACAGATGTGTGGGGCAGACTTGAAGGCAAATTTAAGCAGTTCCTTTCTTAACAGCTGTCCTAGTGGACTTAGTCATAACCCAAGCATGAGAGAAAGAGGTACTGAAATTAAGCGATTCCAGCACCTCTTGTTTCCAAAAATTACGTTTCCGGAATCTCTTGATGGCGATTCCGCACATCTCATATTAGTCAACGATTAATACTTGATGCGTGCATTTGCAGAAACCCTTTTTAAACGTGTTGTCATATTTTTAGATATATATCAAGGTTGATGTATGAAAATGTGGGTTTATATAAAGTATTTCCGTAAATAAACTGTTGGTCGAATCACAGAATTGCCAAATTGCAAAATTTATAATCAAAACGGGTGCGAATTCCGTTCTGAGATGGTCTCCTTGATACAGTACCTCTTATTGCGTTTGTCTCCCTGTGCATTTTCTTTATTCCCGTACTCCTATGCCCATAGAAACAGTGCATGTTCAAAAGTTGTTTCGACGAAATATAAGATTCTTTGGTGACTCGTTCTTCCTGTATCGAAAAAGTAGCGAGTTAGCCACCGAAGTCGAAGAATACCAATTGAAAAAGGTCCTTATTCACAAGCAGCTGAACAATGTTTGGCCAACTTTGAACAGATGTCACAAACGAAGAGAAAGAAGAACATCCTGTTTCAAAAGCCGCCATCTTATGATCTTCAAGTATTAAAAGTTTTGTGTAAAAGAAATAATGCGTTACACGATTGGATGCAGAGTAAAAGCCACATGCAAACGCCCTAATAATGCTAGATAGGTTGCTTAACAAACAAGCGCTTTAGCAAAATAGTAATATACTGAGAAGATCGGCGGTATGCAGTGCTACTGCGAAGAAAGCAACATTGTAGAAACTGAAATAAAACTGAGAAACAGATAGTGGAACCAATTGCTTGTTTGAGCGGTTTGAACCAAGCTGGACAAAGAAATTATATCGTTGAAAAAGAGCATCCCAAAGAATCACATCATATAATGGAATGCATGCAGCATCGCATCCATGAAGTAGAAAAAATTCGTGGAGATGGTTACAGCGGAAGGAATAGAAATATGATGAACAGATTGAAAAAAAAGTTATGCTTCCAGTGCAACATGACATACCTATGTTAAGCTGCATAATTGCTATATTGCTACATAATCTATCCTTGAATTTGGGTCTCTCGTAACAAACTAATGACAAAAGTTGACATCATTCGTAATGCTCTCAAGGAATATTCAAAACTCTCCAACAGAAGTACAACCCGTCCTCAAAAACTGGAACAACTGCGAAGTGTGTGACCCATCCAACATTGGCTCGTCACCAAGAAATGTAATATCGTTCTGATTTAGCAGTTATTGATCACTCCCTGAGACGAGATAAAATATTTAAACAACAAACTTAAGATGCCTATTTAAATGTATAAATATTTATCAACTTTAACATAAAATTAATGTTTAAATCTTCTTGAAATTTCGTTGGAAAAACACCTACTACTGTGGAAATTTTTATCAGGCTTCGCAGAAGTATGACTGAACAGCGCGAAATTTCTCCAGCATCTGTCACACCGTCGCGCAGCAGCAACAATGATCAATTTCAGTCGTGTGTTTCTTATCAAGTAAATTGATTCACGTCACTGTTTTTATTTACATTGTAACGGGTTCTTATATGACGAACGACGACGTAATCGTGCACAGCGCCTGTCGATGAATAATACTTAAAAATCTGCTCTCGACTGTACCGTTCGCGCCAGTAATAACTAACGCGACTGATGTAAGATTTAAATCGAAACAGGTAGTCAAAAGGTTGATTGGTGTTGGGTTGTCGGATGCACGTGAATGTGTGCATTTTATTGAAGCTTGTTTGCTAGCCGTCGTAGCCACTGCGTTGCATGTTTGACTACACGTACAAAGGTACGTATCGAGGTGGACTTTCATGGACAATTCCGCAGTGACGACGATGGCGACCGGGTCGCGGAAGGAGACGGGGCTGCTGACCTCGGCAAACGACCAGCGAATTCACCTGAAGCCGAAAATTGGTCTGTTGAACAGCGTCGGCATCATCGTCGGCGTGATCATCGGCTCGGGCATATTCGTTTCTCCTACTGGTGTCATCCAGGTACGTTTCCATCAACGTTCGTCTTCGTTGTCGGTCGGGCTCTGAATGCGGCAACGTTTTTCAGGAAGCGGGCAGCGTTGGCTTCAGCTTGATCGTGTGGGCAATGTGCGGCGTATTCGCTACCCTCGGTGCCTTGTGCTACGCCGAGTTGGGTACCTCAATCCTGAAGTCCGGCGGCGACTACGCGTACGTACGTGAGGCATTTGGCAACGTGCCAGCTTTTTTGCTGCTCTGGGCGTCGTTAGTGATCATCAACCCGGCGTCCAACGCAGTGACAGCTCTCACCTTCGCCAACTACGTGCTGAAACCATTTTATGGTCACTGTAGTATCGGTGACATCGAGGTGCGACTGGCAGCCGCTGTTATCCTTGGTAACTTTTTTTATGTGCTATTGTTGGTGCCCTCGATGAAGATGTCCATGTCAAATAGAGAATATTTAATCGAGTCCAATTCTCGTACTTAGTTTTTCGTTCATGTACAGTCCTCATGTTTCTACGAGGTTCTGTGTTCAAATCCGATTCGATCGGTGGAGTGGTTGACTTCTAGTTGGTGCTTGAAGATTGATTATTTCGTTCGTACATTAATGATCATTCTGACAACCGTTTAAAAAAGTCGTTTATTCATACACAACTCAAGCAAACAGGATATCAGTCGGATGGTTGACCAGCACCAGACTGATATTTCGATTCGTGTTGCTGGTATGTCTTCACGGTGGACTGAAGCTTTCGGCTTCAAACGTTTTATAGACCACCAAACCAGCAAACCAGCTACTCATGTCAGCCCTTCTCACCCCGAAATTGGACCAAGAGACACCATCCGTTGTCTGTTAATCATCCGATTTGATCAGTTTGCAAGTGTTCTGTATAAATAAACCGTCTTTTTATATAGTTTTCGGTTTCTTAGTTGACGAAGCTTTTTAGCTGGCTTCATCCTACTTTACGATGAGGTCGATTGCACGACTTGTGACCTGAGGATTCACATAAATCATCGGTTAAACTGGTGACCTGATTAGATGAATTCGGTTTCACTGACGTGCACAACAGGCCTTTTTAGCTCATAAAATTGTTGAGATTTTCGGTAGCACATTCTCAGTGGTTTCTTCTTCTTCGTCTTTGCCTATTTCGTACCGATGATTCTCCCTGTGGTTTTCGCTGGTCTGCAACGAAAGGAATTTTCGTATTCACGTCGAACCGTCTTGCTTGTTTTTCGTATCGGTATTATTTATCTCCAGGAAATTTTGACTGATTACGGTTACGTGATGGTTTGTGCACCGCTGTGTACTTTTTACCTCTTTGCTGCCTGATGACTGTCAGACTTGATTTCCCCTACACGTGAAATTCAAGCAAACAGTCTTTTTAAAAGACGCTGCGCTTTTTTTGAAAATGTTGTGTTCATAGTAAACAACTTGGTTTTTTTCCAGCTAACTTCACTAGCATGTCAACACTGTCGTGGCTTTCGCACTAATCAAATCGTTCCACGAGACGTTTCCCTGCAGCTGTATCACGAATTATAATCATGAGTGATGAACTTATGATGGCTCTTTTCATGTTCATACATTTTTTCTGTTTCGACGTGAAAATTTTCAATCTCTTCTTCAGGTTGGTTTGACATCGGTGAATGTACTTTCATCTCTTGGAGAGTTTAATCTCTTCGAAACTAACAACCAGTCTTGCACATATTTCTGAAGTGTATTCACTTGTACTGTGTTGTTCTTTAATTTTCTGTGAATAGTTAACCTCATTTTTCTGTACTTCCGTTTGCCAATCCTCTGCAGTTCAAGACATCCCCTTTTAAGCTCTAACAGCCTCATTTCGTTTCTTCTAATTTCGCTGACAACTACAATATTTCGCTTGATTTTCCTAACTTGTTGTTCCAGCTGTTGAAGTCTCGCATCCCTGTGAAATGTACTGTTGACGGTTTTTCAACATTTAGTAAACCGTAGCAAGGGGTTTTCTAACATTCTCTGCCTTCACCGACTTCAATCCTGCCTTCGGGAAATGAAGGCCGCGATTTTAGTTGTGGTTTCACATTTAAGGATTTAGACATAATTCGCCACGCGGATCATGTTGGTTCTTCATTGTTGCCTCTTCCTCTTGTCTGGTTATAATTCTGTAACTTTCGCGGAATGGTTCAGCGTGCTGGAATCTATAGGCTCAGCTGGGTAAATGTCTTCACAGTCCGTAGTCATTCTTGCCACGCTGACGTGATGAAAGTGCTTTCGAAGATCAGTTTACATAATGAGCTGAGAATTAATTTGTACTTTGTTAATACTTTATTATTTATAACTGCTTATTATTTTGTTTGATTAACGTACTCTTGCCCGAACTTTGATTTTTAGTGGTAGTGTTTCGACGGGGTAGTGAATTAACTTGAACAACGCTGAACCATACGGTAGTAGTAAGAATATGTTCGGTAAACATGTCATATTATATCATCTGATAGCACGCGTCACTGACCGTTCAGCGGCGCTTCTGTTTTACTGTCGATGTGTGAAAGGTGATACGGTATGTGAGAAACTTTGCATCAGTATCATGTTAATGGTTCTGCACCATCTCAAACGTCTGGACAGTCTTCAGTGTTTGCTAACGAACGATATGGCGATCAGTTATCGAACATTACCACACGATAAACTAAGCTAATGCGATTTTCAGATAATTTTATAGTAACCTCTTATATATTCAATCTGATTAATGCAGTTAATCCCAGAGGTTGAGTATTTTGTTTCCGCGTTGGTGATCATACTAAAAACATAAATGTTTGAAAATAATTTCTACACAATGCATGCAAACAAGCAATAAGCTGGCTAACATGACCAGTTCCGATGTTTTGGTTCGTGTTTCACGGATATTCTTCAAGGTAGATACGGCTGAATTCCAAAGTTATTTTTTTGTAGTCCGCGGCTGTAGTGACTTTTATGCTCAAAATGTGCTTTTATCTCATGCTGCTGGTTGAGTAGTTTTTCACAGCAGGCGTAACAAAGTTCCGTCCAATCGGCGTGTAAAGTTAGTGTCATTTGCCCTGGTTGACATTTTTGTAAGACTCGATAATTAATTCTTCTATGATTCGTACGTTTTGCCAGTTTCTTGCCATAATGATGCCAGTTCAGTCTGGCCATTGAAGGACGTGGCGTTTCTGTACTGCGTGTTGCAGATGTTGCATAACCCCCGAGATCTTTTCTCATTTGATCTTTGACCTGGTTTGGAGCGATGCTTTGTTTTCTTTTGTGGATTTTTTATGGCCACCTGACGTTTGCCGTCGCCGTCGTCTGCGATCAAAAAAGTCTCATGGATTCTGCTGTGTGCAGCAGAGAAACGACACGTGTCAATAGATTGCACCGGCATCATTAAAGAAAGAAACTGGTTCAGCAGATTAATCAGATAGACATTAATTTTCCAGTACTGCGAAACTGTCAACCAAGACAAAGGATAAGAGCTCTGTCGGGATTGAATAAGCTTTATGAAGCTCGTGACCCAAACACTACTTAGCCAGCAGCTTAGGCTAAAAGTGCACCTTTGGCTCCAAACGTCACGATGGCTTCGGATTGCGTAACCAACTGCAGAAGTCATTCGGGACCACCCTGAAAAAGTTTCGTGAGAGATTAACCGAAAAGTCGGTGTTAGTCAGTACATGTATGCTGGCGTTGTGAATAAATAAACTGTTTATACATTTTTGAGTTTTTTCAGTATCAGACTTAAAATAAATATAATTAAACTTAATACAAAATATATACAGCCTCATATATACTGCTTGTTTCTGCATCATGGAGTTTGCTTTTTTGCACAGCGACATTTTCTCCGGTTCAGAATTCCTTTATAGGCGTTCGACCTCCAGGTCGAAGAAATTAGCAATAGATATCTGAGATTTCTGATGTAAATCCCTAAAAATAAGTATTAAATTGTAAACTTAACAAACAGTCTGGCTGTCGGTGCGTTTTTTCTGTCGTCGAATACGATACTGCCGTTTGGAAGGTTTCGTGGCTGATATACCCCTTTGTGACTGATCAATGCAGTGTTACAAGTGATACATAGAATGCCAGCCGTCTCAAAAATATTTGACATAATGAAGTGCATATGAATGCGGAGTTAGTGTTTCGTCCAAGTTTTGTTGCGTCTAAGTGGAATAACACAAATTTGAATAATTTTTATATAGCTGTTTGACACTGCTGTGACACTACGCGTTGGGAATTTGATCTCTCGCATGGTTCGACGACTTTCCGTACATTAGTCTCCATATATTGGTGGCAACCGTCCAATCAAAGGGAAGAGAAGTTCTACTTCTATAAGGACTTTCGAACCTCCGTAGACACCAGATTATTGTCGTATACCAAACTCATTCTGACAATAGAAAAATACTACTAAAAATGGTCGATTGTCCATTTCTCTGCTCTTTTTATTTTGAAGCAACTGCCAAACCATAAGTCCGATCCCGTTTTCTTCCTGTTTTCTCACAGTGCGAATTGAATACTGCAATTTCTGGCTATCGCGGCTGCCCAGATGTCATTCAGACCCTGCACCATGCATATTTGAGCCAAAATTCATTGTCATTTTTTACCTAAATTATTTCGCTTAGCCGAATGGGAAAGCGAACGTCATCTGCCACTCTTGCACACTATTTTCTAAATGAGGCGAAAGTCGTGATTGCTTTTTTCCCTTTTTTTTGCTGAAGCAGTTTCAGTCAAAAAGTTCCACATCGTTTTTGCATGCTTAGTAGCGGTCGTCGACAAATGTGTAGAATTTTCTACCAATGTTAACTATGGAAATGCAAATGTTGTATTCATTTGTCATTTTGGATTCAGTGGTATCTTAAGGTTTGCCGTGGTAAAAACTTCCGCAGATTGTTTCAGTTGCTTTTTGTGGTTTGTCTGTAAATGAACATTTCACGGTTTGGATTTCAGAATACCAGGTTTGGAACTTCTTTTCTGACATTTGGCCTGTCTTTTGTCTGTTTTCCACCTGACTTTAGAATTAGCCTTAAATCTGACGTCAAGATCAGACATGCAAATCGTCGTAACTAGCAATATGCTGACTGTCCTTTTCGATTGCGTTGGACTCTCGTTGTGAATTCGGAGAAATTCTATGAACTGTAATGTCTATCAGGAGTTGACATCGATTTTTAAACTCTTAAAGCTAGTCTTTTTTAGTGGAATTTTCCTTGCTGCTGTACTCAACAGCCATGGAAAGATTACTGAAATCTTTTAATCAAATTACCTGCATTCCTTGCCCACAACCGCACTTTTTTTCAAAACCAAGTCAGAATGTAAATGGGATATTGAAATATACATAGATAAACATGTCTGAAATGTTTACGCATGCAGTGGTGTCAGAAAAATAATTAATAACTTCTGAGCAGCGTATGGGAACGGATTTAGTAATAATTATTTTAATATTTATTTGTTTATTTTGTAACGTTTTATTGTTTAATTTTTAGGCCTGTTGATTTTCATCAATTGTTACAGCGTGCGCCTGGCAACCAGAACGCAAGATGTTCTCGCCTTCGCTAAAGTCATAGCGCTTATAATCATCATCGTGTCTGGTTTTGTTTGGATAATCTTAGGTACTAATTTTGATTTCTTTTTGTTTCGAATTTTGTGTATCGAGCAATATTTAAGTGACTTCTGCAATTACCTTTTATCAGTTATGTTTCGAGTACTTGGTAATTCTATCGTTAGAAACTGGGTTGGGTCTGAAAGGCTGTTTTAATATTACAGCGTATCCACCAGATCTTGTGTCTGCATGTTAAATGTCTCTCTCCAAGGTGTTTGTAAGTGACATCAATACACTACATGAATGCAAAAAAGTCGGGTCATTGCCAACTTTCTTCCCAGTGGGACACCACCTTGTGCTATGGATAGCATTAAAGTAGCCAAAGTTATTTTGGATCCAGGGTTCTTTATTTTTGACCAATAGAATTTCGACAGAGACAGAGCAATGACCACTGGACAGAAATGTACACGCCATTCCAGACTACAACCCAGTTGAAGCCAGTCATCGTTCTGCATGCTACGAACGCATTGAACCGCATTCAGTCATGTCTGCACAGAGCATGACTGCCGCGGGTCTTTTGTGTATGGGCGCGAGGTAAAGAAACGGTTTGTTTGCGAACATAGCGTGGTGCTAATTCAAATAATCGAACACGTGGCCGATCGTTACCTCGTGTGTACCGTGATCGATTTTAAAATCAGAATCGACAGTAGATATGTGACAAACATAGGACGTAGTCTTCTGTTTCCTTCCTGGAGAGTAGTACTCATTTATCGACGTCTGGACGAAGGACGAAGGGCGAGTGATCCCATTGAGACCAGAACCTGGTGCTTATCGGTTTTGACTCGACGTCTTACCGATTGAGCAATTATTGTCAGCGAAGAATTATTTAGCATTATTGTTTATATTATATTGATGTTTTATTTTCTGGTTCAGTTATTTTCAAAATTAGTCGCAGCCGTTATCCTCACAAAGCATTATTATGATTCTTCCTCTCAAAAACCATAGACAAATCAGTATTAGCTACTATCCTTATTTTAGAAAACTGAAATGCATCCCTTCTTTTAAACGAATTCAGTGCCGTTATTAAGGTTTTTAAGAGTTTGAACTCTTGTAGGAAAATGTTTGTCAGTGAGTCGGTGAAATTTACTTAAGTAAAGCCTAATGCACAAGATAAGTTTCCAAAACTTGGAATATAACAGTTAACATGGGTGCTGAACAACAAAACCAGCAGTTAAGTGGATCTCCATCTCAGGCTGACCATAGTATGATCCAAAATGACAGTTTCTCTTTCTTGGAGTAGAGAGATCGGACAGCGAACGGAACGAACGACGGTTGAACGTTGTTTCAAGCGTAACTTGGGACTGGATTTAGTACCATTGTCACATGAGTGGCTTTTTTGTTCTTTGCTGGCATTCCGCGAGAGAAGTAAGCCGTGATTCTCAGGTACTATGATGTAGTATTGCCTGTTCAGCGTTTATCATAACAAGTTTTGCGTTTTTAGGACACCGAGAGCAATTTGCTAACCCTTGGCAAGGTACGAAGGCGAATGCATTTTCCATATCATTAGCCGTATATCAGGGAATTTATTCCTTTGCCGGATGGTAAGTGATACGTAATTGATATATGAAAGAAATTACTGTTTTAATTCAAAATTATTTACATTTAAATATTCATGTTACTGATCAAATAAATATAGGTTTAATGATGGCGGTTTGCTTCGGGTCGTTTAAAATACTGGCACACGATCAAGAACCTTGGAGATACTGTCTTCCATGACCCGGAAAGATAAATGGTCATCGAAACTGACTGACTGAGAGAAGTTTATTACTCTCATCGGAAATAACTAATGTGCATAGCTTTCTTGGTCCTCTAAGCCATTATAGCTCCGCGCTGCTGCTTTTAGTGGTTTAGGACCTTTCATATAGATAACGATTCCATGATATAATACCTGAAATACATATATGCTTACTGAATCTCTGTGTGGGCTCAAACAATAGCCTTCTCCTAGTAGCTACTAGCGTACCTTTACTCGCTTGTCCATAACTGTTATTATTCGTACACTTGGGTTTACAACTACTACTTAAGTAGTTCGTACTGAGTAAGGCTTAAGTGCTCAGAAGATAATAGTTCCCTCAATGAAATATCTGATTTCATGGGTGAAAGTACGATTTCAAGAAATCGGAAGAGTTTATTGGTAAGAG